CACATGGACTCCCAGGGGACGCTTATCCATGTCATAACCAGCTCAGGTGTAAATCATTCCTGCAGAATGAGCTTGTTTTTGTCCTCAGACTAGTAGAGAATTCCAAGAGCTGGAACAAGCAGAATGAATGTGTAAATGTAGACCCTGTTGGAGCCAGGACCTGAGTCGGCGGCACCTCCTCTGCTACCAAGCCAACAGGGAGCCTGGTGACCATCCACCAACCTGCAGGAAGGGCTCCTCTGGGCTCCACGTGCACTTTGGATCCAGAACTGTGGGCAGTCTCCATTTCAATGCTACCCGCCCAGGGGGCTGGGAGCAGCCTGCCTCCCAGAAGGAGCCAGGTGGGGCCCCCAGGGCTACCAAGACAGAAGCCCCCCACTTCCCAGTCAGCTCTCTAGATACATTTTTGAAACTCTCCTTCACATTACTGGATTAAGTAGCTTCTTAGAGAATTTGTGAAAATTGAAACTCTGGGATAATTGTTGATTTTTTGATATGACTTAAACTGTTCAGGAATTTCACCTGATTTTTTTTCCTGACAAAAATTTTAAAAACTCTTTCTTTAATAATAAATTAAGATTTTAAAAAGAAAATAAAGTTAAGGAGTCTTGAAGGATATTTTTCTTTGCAGTCAACCAAAGATCAAGAAGACTATCTTTCTCCAGTTCTTCTATACGGCTTCCCTCATCTTCAGGGCCTGGTACCTGGCACATCAGTAGCAGATGCAAGATAAAATCTTTTTGGAATAATGAGAGGAGACACATTAATCCACATTTGGAAAGAATCCTAAAGAGGCCATCAGCATAAGCAAAAAATATTTATTTACTCCTTAGATATTTTTGCAGAAAATCCATTCTTCTGGCTTCATCTCAGCAGGTGATGGCAGAGGCCAGAGGGCCACACAGCACCACGGAGGGTGGGGAGGCGGAGGATGCACCTGGCCTCAGGCTGTCCCCAGAGCCCTGGAGAAGCCACTGGCTGGCGGGAGTGGAGCTTTCCTGGAGAGCAGCACCTTGCTGGCCGGGTCAGGACAGGCTGGGCCAGGGCAACAAGCAGCCATCGGAGCCCGGCGACTCTACAGGTATCCATTTCTCGCCCTTGTCATCCCCCAGTGCCACCACTAGGCCATCCCCTGGGAAGCCACCTCCCCTCTGCAGCCCACAGAGGACCTCCCAACTGCCCAGGCTGCAGCACCAGGGCCAGAGCAAGTGGACCGTTACATGGGTCAGTTCTCAGGGACACGTCTGAGAGTGGCCTCTCCAGCCTACACCCTGTGGGCACAGGCTCTCAGGAGGCCCACCTCCCTGGAGGCTGGGAGGCTGGGAGGACAGCCGAGCTCATGCCCAGGAGGAAGTGTGGAGAACAGGTGGCCCTATGGCTTCCGGGGAGTGGGGAGGTGGCACAAGGGGAACTAGCACCAGCAAAGGCAAGTACACACAGGGTCCCCAGGGCCTGCGGCTGGGTGTGGACAGTCCTGCTGGTCATCGGTGGCAAGTGGAAAGATGGTGGTAAGTCCAGAGCCAACCATGGCAGCACCAGCACACATGCCCCTGAGTCAGCTGAGACACTCTTTTTGCATATGTCACGTCCATGATAAATGGGCATCCGAAGGGTCTCCAGAACAGGGCCAGCGGTCCTGTGTGTGCTGAAGCTCATGCCTCTGGAAGGGCACCAGCTTGAGCTCCTGCAGGGCACGGCCTCCTCCACAGCCCTCTCACCTACCAGAGGGGGAAGAGAGGGACAAAGGCCCTGGCTCTCTCTGCACAGTGGGATCCACAGCCAACTGTGGTGGTGGGGGGATGCTTCCCTCTCCTTCCCTCAAGGGAGGACCACCTACCTTGCAACCCACTGTCCATCGTCTTTGGAGTGGGGCCGAGGCCCTTGGACCAACGTCCTAGCCAAGAAGCCCAGTCCCTGGGGACACTCGTCTACTCATTGCCGGTGGCTGTCATAGCACCATAGCCACCCACTGCCCCCAGCCTCCAGCCTCCAGCCTCGAAACCCCAGCCCAGGGCCTGCGGCCACTGCTGAATCTGCCGTTAGCTCTGGCGGGGGACTGTCTGGTTCCTCTGTCGTGGGTCTTCAGACTTACCAGATAACCAGCTCTGGGTGACACCTCTACAGGTATGTCCAGCTGGGGGCAGGGGCAGCAAAGTCTGTAAATCAAAATATAACTCCGTTTGCTTTCGAGACTCCAGGAGCTGGAGGGCTTCCCCTGAGGGGCTCCAGAAGCTTCTCCCTCCCTTTTTTCAAGAAGTGGGCCCCTTTTCTCCAAGCTGACCAGCATGCTCAGTCCCTTGTCACTCAGAGGTGGCCCCTCAGCTCTGAGCCATGGCCAGCTGTCAGGTTGAAGCGGGTGGAGAAGGACATCAGCCAAACGCTGAGCAGGGAGACAGTGCAGGAATGTCATCCTGCGTCCCTGCCTCTGAATTCCATCTGATACACTTTCTTTTTTTTATAGAAAGGGGAGCAGGGGCAAAAGGCAGAAAGTCAGGGCAGGTGGCTCCAGACGGGTCCCAAAGCAGCCTTCTGTAATAGCCACTCTGCTGTGAAGGACACCAGCTCCTAGAGGAGGAGGACAGGGAGGTGGAAGTCCCGTCCTCTCTCTGCTGTGTCCCCTGGGTACTTGTTCAGCCTTCTGCAGATACACAGCTGGGTGAATACCCATCTAACGGCAGCCCATGCCCACCTTGGGGCTTGTGTGCTCTCCTGTCACCCGATTTGGGAGGCCAGCCCCTTTTCCCAGGCTCTCTCCCCCAGGTTGTCAGCCCGGTGCCCTGGCTTGTGTAAATGGTGAGCCACCGGCCAGTCAGACCTCCCTGAACACCTGTGAGTGAGGCAAGACGGCTTCCTGGAGAGCAGGTGGGACCAGGAGCCCGAGGTCCAGGACGCACCACCTGCACCTGTGCCTGCTGAGTTCTGGGCCCTCCCACCCCAGGCAGCAGCAGGGTCCACCTGGAAGGACTCAGGCCGGCTCTCATGGACTCCCCTGCCACTTCTTCCTGGCGACATCATAAGTGCTGGTGTTCAGGTGACTGGTGAGAGTGGAAGGCCAGCCAAGGCACCCTGCAGGATGCCCCCGAGCCAGCAGGGGGCCCCACTTCCTCATGAGAATGCTGGCTGCCACTTTAGGGGAAGAGGCGGTCACAGCAAAATGAATGTCAGTCCCTGGGCCTTTGGTCCCCAGTCCCTGCAGAGAGGGGCGGGTGAGGGCTGGCCAGAGCCACCTCTAAGGGTGACCGCAGGCAGGACGAGAAGAGCGTGGTGTCGTGCACTGCTGCGAGTGACCAGACGTCTGGTTCAGTTTGCAAGGACGTTCGGGGACTGCGACAGCCCTGCCTCTACTTCCTGCTGAGACACATTGCTGGTCTGTCTCTGAGGCCCTCATTAGATGCCGAGCGGCCACTCCAAAGTCTCTTTCTCTTTTTACAGAACAGAGAACAACTGGAGACTTGTTTTCTAAAGAAGAAAGCTTGGTGTTGGAGGACGTCTCAAGCCCCTGAGAGGAGAAAGAGGCCGCGCAGAGCCGGGCCTCAGGCACCCTTCCCGCCACCCCTGTGGCTAGAGTGTCACATTCACTTCAGCTGGACCTAGCAGGCCTACGGGCCTTGCAGCTGAACTGACCCTGGGCTTCCAGGGAGACCCAGGAGGACTGAAGATCGCAGTTCTACTGGAGACTCAGGGAGCGTTGTCCACCTGTGAGTGGCAGATCACCCAGGAGTGGCTCTCAGGATCCCAGCAGGTGCTTCCTCCTTGTAAACTGTTCCAGGAGGAAGAAGACGAAATAACACCCAGAATAACCTCCTGTGGGGCTTTTTGAGTACAGAGCACCTGTGGCCGGGGGCCGGGGGCCAGGGGGGCCAGGGGGGCTAGGGCATGTTCTCTGCTCTCTGTTTTGTTTTTTTTTTCCAGAACACTTTACTTTTTGGCACTGGGGAGTTGAACCCAAGGGTGCTCTACCACTGAGCTATACCTCCAGCCTTTTAAAAAATTTTTTACAGGGTCCCATTAAGTTGCCCGATTCGACCTTAAACTTGCGATCCTCCTGCCTCAGCCTCTGGAGTCCCTGGGAGGACTGGCGTGCAACGTTGCACCTGGCATGAGCCATTTCTTGAGCTCAAGAGATTGAGCAGAAGGAAGGGTCTGTTTCAAGCTCAGCCTTTGGCCTTTGGTCAGCTGCAGGTCAATTTCATAGGTATTTCAGGGGAAAGTGACCTGGGTCATGTGTTGTCACAGTGAAGGACCATGGTGACACAGTGGTAGCATGGTAATCCCGGGGTAAATCTGCTTCACAGTCAGGCCTTAGTGCTGCTTAGATGCTACTGGGCCCGTCGTTTTGCATCCTGTTTGTCAACAGAAGTCACTTTTCCTGATTCTTCCTTTGGTGGTCCCAGCATTTATGTCCATTGAAAATGCTGCTGTGGGTGTGGGCAGGGCCCAGCACCGGGGGGGGGGGGGGGGAGGTGCTGGGGTCACTGTTTCTCCTTTTTTTTTTTTTTGAGGTTTATCGATTCTGGCGTGGTTCATAAGACTGTGCTTTAAGCAAACTTAAAAAAAAAAAAGTGCCTTGGTACATTTTGGAGCTGTTCATTTGATGCACTTTCATTTTAGGAAGGCAGTCGCAGCTCTGCTTTCTGGTATCTGGGGCAACAAAGATGTGACTGTATCAGAAATAGGATTTGTTTTTATGAAAATATATCCCTCGTGCCTGTTGATGGCTCGCTGATGGAACCAGCGACCTGCGCTTCTGCCCGTCCTCTCCCCGGCCTTGGCCCAGCTGGGTCAAGCACCTTTCCCCTCTCCCGGGAAACACATGCCACCCCTTCCTCTGCTTCCCTCACCTCCCACCCGCATCCGCAGCGCAGTGTGTAAACACCACCATGAGGGGTCTGCTGCTTTATGTTGTCAAAGGAGGGATTGTTGTCACAATCGACGGTCTCTAAAAGTGACCAAAGCAAGTCCACTTCCTTACCTGGGAAAACCACAGAGATTGTGGCTTTTCAGTACATCAAATCCGCGGCGACGTTGGTTGTCCCTGTATCTTTGGATTTTGCAAAAGGAAACTGGAATCCGGCGAGTCGTATTAGGAGCCCATTGAGAAAGTGAACCAAGCAGCAGGTGAAAACCACCCAGAAGGAGGTGGTGTAGCTCTCCCGCTGCGTTCTGTAGGCGTATGTCCCTTCGGCATAATTTGCAATTTTTTCAGAGAGGTGGTGGATTTTCACTTCAGAGGCAAATAAGATCATGACGAGACAGCCACAGGAGCCTGCGACAGAAGGGACAGACACACGTTGGACAGAGAGCCCCTGCATGCAGGGGACAGAGAAGAGGGTCAATGAGCCAAGCAGGGACACTTTCCACCATCATCCTCACCCTCTTCCTTCCACAAGCATCTGGATCATTGCAAATCTGAGATCAGCAGCCTGATCCTCTAGCCCACAGGTGGTGGTGCTGGTGACAGGCCCGGGCTTCCCCTTAGAAGGGTTACCATGACCCCTCCAGCTCCAAACTGGCCACAGCAGCCAGAGGAGCACCTGCCTGTCACTTCCCTGTCACTCATTGGTAGCTGTGGGTGAGATTCGGTTGGCAGGGCACATCTTCTTTTGTTTGTTGCTGGATTCCAGGTTTTATCTGGGCTCATGGCTGTCTTGAATTAAAATCTTATGTGGTTGAGATGAGGGTGACTGAGATGTAGGGCTGGAAAGTTTTCTTGAAGCATAAGATATAAGGGACCTACTCTGTCTTCCCCACTTGCTCTTCCCTGTAATTGAAATATGGACGCAACAGTTGGAGCACCAGCAGACATTTTGGACCAGGTGGCCTCAGAATGGAAAAACAAGAAAGGAAGAATATGGACCCCAGACATCTAAAGCTACCAGATCACCCCTGACCTTAACCTCTAGGCTTCCATGTGGGAGGAAAATAAACATTAATGTTGTTTAGTTCATTGTTATTATCTCCCTGTCACTCATTGGTAGCCTAATCCAACCTCAATGCAAGTGTGGTCTGGGTAAGATCTCTGTAGGGTGGGGTGTCCCACACTGTGTAGAGCCTGGAAACCTGGAGGGGTGGTCTCCCCTGAGTGGGAAGGACAGGAGACCCTCGATGGCTGGTCTTCTCCAGGGGCAGAAGCAGGTGGGAGCAGGGTGGATGGCCAGGCCCCCACAGGGCTTCCACGGGTACTGCTGTACCCCGGGTTGCCGGGAAGAGAGTGCAGACTATAGGACACTGGCCGAGATGGGTTTCTGACTCAGGTTAAGCCAACTTTCATTTACTGTGTAAAGTGGGCAATTTGAACCCCGAGTGTCAGTTTCCTGGTCCATTCCAGGTGGTTAGCACAGTGTGCGTGACTGGCGTGTGGCCCTGGGGCAGGAGTGCTCACCATGACCCCTCACCCACCCCGCCCACTCCAGGAGCACTTGAGTCTGCCAAGGTGGACTCCCACTGTGTACCCAGTGCCTCGGGCCCCAGGTACCCTGCCCTTCAGCTCACATTCTGTGAGAAAGGCAGACGCTTTGCCTTTTTCAACTATAGCTGATGCCACCACCCTGGGAGCAGGGCGTGTGGCTGCAGCTCCCAACCGTTAATTCACTCATTCATTTCTTCCATCACAGGCCAAGGTCAGGAGGGTGGTGGAGACTTAGAACATTCAAGAAGAGACTTGTGGTTTCTGTGCTTGCAGAAGATGATTGTCAAGGGCAGCTATGGTGTCCCCAGAGCTCAGCTGCAAGGTCTGGAGGAGAAAGCCTGGGCCGTGCCCTTAGCCTAATCAGAGAGTCAATCCTGGTACGAAGGCAGGTGGGTGTGGCTGGAGGAAGCGGCTCACGGGGCACCTGGCTGCAGGGCCCATATTTGTATCCAGCAAGCGGAGACCCCTCTCTGCTGCCTGGTCACTATGGGAACCGCTTCCCTCTGCCATACTCTCCTACCATAATGTTCAGCCTCCCCCTCTAGCCCAGGGAATGGAGCCAGCCACTTGTGGACCAAGACCTCTGAAACCAGAAGCCCTAAATAATCTTTTCCTCCTCTACAATTCTGGTCAGGTCTTTCAGTCGCAGCAGTGAAAAAGTTGACCAAAAAACAGTGGCCAAGCCAGGAACGCAAAACACCTGGAAAACTAGCCACACGGTATGGTGCAGGGGTTGGTGTCATTACCAAGAGGCGGGCGGCACCAGCACTAGCACCAGGATGCTGCCTGAGAGGTGACCAGAAGGAGCCACAGGAGTTGGCCTTGCAGAGAGAGATGGCCCCATGGAGGACAGGGCAGGGCAGGGCAGGGCAGGACAGGACAGGGCAGGCACAGTAGTGCTCATGCCAGGGTTGGCCCCATGTCTTTCCTCAAGGTCAGGGTTGTGTGAGGATGGACAGAAAAGCTGATCTTACTTTCTTTTTCCTTAGGGTTCCATCTGGGACCGCATCTGGGACCGGTGCATCAACTTGGTCACCGCCCTGCAACACCCCAGCAGTCAAATGATGCGATGTCCTTAAAACCTCCCTTTTCCTCAGTAAGATTTGTCAGCCTAACTATTTTTGTATTCCAGGCTTCAAACCAAAGCTCTCCCTTGCAGAACCATACTCTTCCTTTATTGTCAGATCCCAACAGAAAGGCCACCGCGCTGTGCTCTCTTTATCTTTTATTTGAAAATTGTGGTGAAAAGCCGCTGCTTTTACCCTAAGAGCTCCCTTTGTCTGCGGAGATGGGGATTTCAGACGCAGCCAGCACTGTTTCCCTAGTGTCTGAAAGGGAAATTCAGGCTCGGTTTCCTTTTCACGTTGTTAAATATTTTAAAGGTTCTACTTTGTTAAGGAGACAGCGTTGTGAGCCTGCATTTCAAAGTCCTCAGGTGGAAGTCACTGGTCACGTCTGGGACTCAGAGCCTTTGGCTGTGACCGGCCTGTGAGGTGAGGAGGCCCAAGACGGAGCACTGGTCCAGGAGATCCGAGATGGGCTGGGACTCCGCTCTGGACCCGGGTCGACCCTGAGGTCACTCTTGTCGCCTCAGAGGCAGAGGAGGGCAAGCAGGGCAGGCCTCTGACGCCCTGTCCATGACTGCCCAGAGACCCGAGGGAAAGCGAGCTCCGTGCGGATTTGGGATATTTTCCCTCTTCTCTGTCCACTCCATAAAAGGGCCATGGGATCAAGGAAAACTGTGACTTGCAGATGAAAAGATGCACATGGAGACTCTGAGTGCCCGCTGCAGGGGACATGGGCGGTGGGTGACGGCGAGAACAGGGCTTTGCACATTTCCAGCCCTCAGACTCGGCAAGAGGGCTCCTGCGTGGGTCCCACACTCGGGGGGCTGCTCTGCTCCTCCGCTAGAGAGGTCTCCCCTGCCCCCACAGGGTGAGAACTCCTCCAGGTCGGTAGGACATGGCCCTCTGGAGAGCTTGAGCTGCACAGACCACGCTCCTGGGACCCTGGGCTCGGTTCCCCCAGAGCCCCGAGCCCATTCCAGGGCTGGCATGGAGCCTCCCCTGGGTCAAGCCCTCCCTCCCGAGGGCAGGGGAAGGTGCTGCACTTGGCTAAGGACTCAGGTGACCAAGGAGTCGCTGTTGGAAGGGAGTGAGTGCCTGGGGCTTGGCTGAGCCGTGGAATGTCCGCACATGGGCTCCAGGCCCTTCACCTGGACAGGCCAGGCAGGGGTGAGCATGGACAGTGCCGAGGCCGGCTCAGCTCAGCATTCCCAGGCTCGAGAATTCCTTGCATCTAGCCTTCCGTCTCCTTCTGGAGGGGTGTTTCTCAAGGTAGAAGGAGAGAGAACCCTTTACAGTTGGTTAGCTTGAAACCTTTAAAAGCTTAGACACTCGGGACGTGGGTCTTCTTTTGCACTGTTTCCTGCAGCCTCTCGAATGTCAGGACTGGCCTGTGCTTCTCTCCCTTCCCTTGTTATCTGTGTATGTCAGGAGCCCGACTCAGCTTCCCAAACCAGCATTTTGGGAAGGCTACTGGGCCTTGCTTCAGCTAGAGCTGGGAGCAGACCAGATTACAAGGCCACGTACACTGCCCAGAGTCGCACCCAACGACCCGCAGCGTTTCCCCATCCTCTGGTTTCTCCACCATCTGGCTGGTGCTTGTAGCTGGTCCTCCCAGCCCCCTCGAATGGCGCTGATTACTGAGTTAATTCCTGACTAATGGGACTGCTGAGTCACAGGGCTGTCACACTGTGAGTGCCCAGGCAATTACCAAACACTGGAGGTCTGCTAGGCACTGCACCCGGAAGGCCCCTGGCAGCTGCCTGGGTCCATGGTACCGGGCGCCTGCCCTTGCAGCCCTTGCACACGGGTACTGGGTCCCAACAGTGAGACAGCTGCTCCTTGATCCCTGAGTGTGACTGGGCTTTCTGGGTGGGGACAGTCTGCCAGGCTCACTGGGGTCCTGGGATGCTGTGGCCCAGGCCCTCTGGGGGCCTCTGAGATTCTATCCTATCATCACTAAATTCATATTTGGAAAATCGTTAGCATTCCAATTCCTCTTAAAGCCATGACCAATATTTCCAGAGTGAGAAGACATCACCTTTCAACTCTGACAGATGACAGACTAAGAGGCATTCCATTTCCAAGACAATGTGGTAAGCTGATCATCGGCTTCTTTAAGGACCCCCAAGAGATGACAGAAAGGGTACAGCTCTGCAGGTATAAGTGCTGATTTTCTGGAAAATTACACAATCTCTCTAGAAAGCCTGTAATCATAGGTGAGCAGGGTGAAGTAGCCTTCCCAGGGGAAGTGGGTCCAGCTCCGCCTGCCTTCAGAGAGCATTGGTCCATCCAGAAAGGGCAGGTAGTGGCGGGCAGTTAAGCCAGTCAGTACTGACCAGGAGGCGACATCGCTGACCATCCCTCTCAGACTCCTGAACAACAGCTCCTTCCTAAGGACTGAAGTGGAAGTAAGATGTAGGCTTTTCCCACTACCAATTGCAGGACAATGTCCCTTGGGTGAGTTGGGCACACCACAGAGGACAGGGTATGGTGGATTCTGAAACTGACACAGGATAGGAACATCCGTCTGTTTTGGGACTGTTTTTCATTTTCCTGTCTTTGTGCTACGTATATGACTGTGCCATAGCTGTACTGACCAAAATCAGGCCGTACCAAGGGCACCCCCTCTAAAGACAGGCAGCAATTTTATGTGTTTGCCTTGCTTGATAGAACTCATAACAGGAGGCCAGAATTTGTCCAGATTTTCGTGGTTTTCACTGTCCCCCGAAGGCCTGAGCCATCTCACGCCATCCTTGGAGAATACTCATTGAACTACCATGTTCTGCCACCAACCCATGGAAGACTCCCCACTGCAGGTCCAGCCGAGACTTTGACACCAACCAACTGGGAAGCTTTGAGGAGGTGTAGACAAAGGCACACACTCAGTCCGCGCCCCATGCTGCTTTCCCCAGCCGCCCACCCTGTCTACTCTCAAAGGTGACCACCTTTGACCAAACCCACTGGTGACCAGTACTTCTGAACCACATCCCTCTGGCTCTGCCCGGGCCGTTCTGCTAGAGGTTCACCCTCCCTATGTGGCGGCACCCGTTCCCACCGCTCCACATGACATCTACCTCCCGACAACGCCTGGTTTTTGTCTTTCATCTTGACCTCTTCTCTGGGCTCTGGACTCAGAGCTGACCGTCTTCTCGACAGCTGCCCTTGGCCATCTCACGGCATCTCAGGCTCTGCACGTCCCAGGGAGAACATCTGATTTCTATCGAAGCTCATGTCTCTGCACTGTGCTTATGCTGAGCCTGTTCCTCCCTTGTCCCATCCATCCTGGTCAGTGCCACCACTATCTACTGAGCCAGCTACCTGAAAACTCTTTTAGGTCCACTTTCAGGATGTTTTTAGAATCCCTTCATCTTTCTCCATTTCTGACACAGTAGCATCGGCTTCTACCAGACATTGTTTGAAGAGACAAGTCACCTATCACATATCTTCGTCATGCCTCAGGATGTCAGGGCCCTGTCCAGCAGGGAAGTGGACATCTGAAGGCATGGTCCTAGCGTGACTTTGGCACAAAGAAAGGGGGAGCTTAGGGAACATGGGGGGTGGGGAGAGTGGGAGGAGGAAGAGAGAAGGCAACAGCTTTCTTCTGCTGGCTGAACAAGGCCACCTGGGCCATCCTGATGAGACAAAGAGGGAGTGCTACAGTCTAGAAGTGAGGTGTCCCCAAAGCTCCCATGTGGGCATGCAGGAAGCTTAGAGTGGAATGACTGGCTCTGAAGCCTTAACCTCATGAGTGCATTTATCCTCTATAGGGATCACCTGGGTGGTGACTATAGGCAGGTAGGATGTGGCTGGAGGAGGTGGGTCCTGGGGGTGACTCGGTGGCATCTATTTTGTTCTTGGTGAGCAGAGCTCTCTCTCTCTTGCTTCCTGACCTGCTTTTCTCCACCACACCCTTTGGCCATGATGTTGGCCTTTCTCTGGGGCCCAAAGCCATGCGGTCGGCTGGCCATGGACTGAGATTTCTGAAACCATGAACCCCAAATAATCTTTTCCTTCTCCAAAATTGTTCTTGTCAGGTCTTTTGGTCACAACAACAAAAAAACACTGATGAAAGCAAGGAGGAAGCCCCATTGAACACAGCCGTATTCACACCTCAGATAAGGCCCCTAATGTCCTGGCCTGCCGGGTGTGACCGTCCACTCACAACTGGAGGTCAGGTGAGTGCTGTGAAGTTCCGCCCTTCTGCAGTGAGGTGTGAAGCTGGGACGTGTGACATCATGACTTCAGGTGAACACTTCCCAGCACCGGGCTTCTGGGGGCTGTATATGGACTTAAGGGGAAGGAGGTGCTCTGTGCTCCAGGAGTCACAAGCCGTTGGTCCACCTGACCCTCAGGCACATTTGGTGGCCATGCACAGTCTTTCCAAACGTACTGGAAACTTTGGTATTTAGAAATAAGCTGGGAAGGCTGGAAGAGCCCTGCAGCCTGAAACCCCAGGCTTCACCCTCGGCAGGTAGCAGAGCTGAGACGGCTCCTCCCTCTGGGCTCTCCTGTCTCCCACCGTGACTCCCACTCCTACTGAGCATCTGCTTTGCCTTTCCAGCTCCAGATGATGAGACACGGTGAGCACAGGGCTGGTGGTTCCCGCCTGCACCCCTGCACCCAGTTCTCCTGGCATCAGACTTTGCCAAAAGCAAAGACCTAAAATTGTGCATCTCCAAGGCATCTTGCTGCTCAGTGCTGCTAGTCGGTTCTGATCGACCACCAGAACTGTCCAGTAGCCTGTCTCCCAGGGGCGGTTGGGCGGTTCACCCAGATGCTGGAGCGCTGCGTGGCTGTGCCGTGGACAAGCTGTGGCCTCTCTGCTTCAGCCGGCTTGGCTCTACTCTTCTCTGGACACCAGATCCGCCCTCCCCAGACCAGTCCCACCTGTCAGCTACTTCCAGTTAGACTCTGGGTGACGTGAGCACCAGGGAGAGGGGAGACGGAGAGGAAAGGAGAGCCCCCTCCATCTGCTCACAGTTCTGCATGGTGCCCCAGGAACAGGACCGTCCCTGGCCTCCAACCCTGGGGAGTAGCCCAATGCTCCCACCTGGATTTGCCTCCTGGCCACACCTGGGGTCCACGCCTCTTCTGCCCTGGCTGCAAACCCTGGATGTCCTTGGAGAGACGGCATCACGTTCCTGGTCCCACTGCCTCTGGGACCTGCACTGTCTAGTGGCTCAGGGAACCTCTCCTTCTGGACTTAGCTTTTCAAGTCAACAAACATCAAATTGTTCTCTGTGAGAGCTTCATGCTGGGGGCGTCTGCCATAGACAGAAAGATGAGCAGGCCTTAGACTCTGCCCTCATCGGGAAATCGCCAACTGTATCTCTTCACACTGCTCTGTGCTTGTGACAGACATGAGAAACCTGTGCAGACTCCCCCTGGAGAGACTCTGCTTTGAATAGGTGAATATGAATGGGTGAGGCTAAGAGGTGACACTGCATGCTAAGGTGAACCAGCCCTGGGGACTGCAGAGCTTGGCCTCCTAGACGGGACCCATACAGGTCTGTGGCTGGGGTTGCACCCTGGGCAAAGGGAGTAGCGTCAGGATGAGCAGGGGCCTCGTGCCCGCCGACTAGTGACTGGCAGTCAAGGGCAACCTCAGGGAGGAAGGACCCGTCCACCAGGGATTGTTGGCTGATGTGAGTGGTCATCGCTGTATGACATCAGCAATGAAATTAGTTCCTTCTGGAGAATATGGTCAAGTGCTGAACCGTTTTGCAAGTTTAGACTGGGGTAAAATCAGAGCTCTCCTGTGGAAGAACAGCCACATATGAACTAGGTATCTTATTTCCGTTTTCTCATCTCCTTCTCCTCCTCACTAATATGCCGTAAGCATGCTGTGGCGCGGCCTGCACCTTCTATTCACCAGCTCTGGAGATGTAGTAGCACATGTTTATCAGGGAGCGAATTTCCGGGTCTGGAGTTCCTCCCTGCCCAGGTGCCCCTGACATCAGGCTGTGGCAACGCATGTGCGGGGAGACACCAGCCCCTTACCCTTTTGGATGGCATTTATTCATTCTTCTGATTTTGAATAAATAAAAGCACATCATGGAATAGTTAGAAATAGTGACAACTGTGAGCAAAAATAAAAACCACACCAATCAATTAGACTGCCCCCTCCCACCCGGGCATACACAAGGAGGCCCCATGAACATAGCGAGAGATGGGCAATACACACAGACGTATATGAAGTTCAGTGTGCATTTTTTTATATGTTCATCTCTCAATTATATATACACAGTCAAACTGGGCTTACAATGTTTATATGTTTATAAAATCTTTCTGGTTTTTTTTTTTTACTTAACATTTAAAATGACTTTATTTTATTTATTTATTTTCATGTGGAGCTGAGGATGGAACCGGTGCCTGGTATGTGTGAGGCAACGCTCCACCATTGAGCCCCAGCCCAGCCCTTACTTAACATTTTAATACTAGCATTTATCCTCTTGATCATATCTTCAAACTTATGATGACAGCATCACAGTCATTCATACAGACTTCTGCAATGTCTCCACTGAACTCCACAGTGTTGGACAATGTTTTAGTTGACCTTTTGTGAACAGAACACCCAAGAAGAACAGCGCTGGGGCTCAGGTTTCCGGGTCTCCATCCACTGCTCTGGGCCTGCATGAGGCAGAGCGTCTGGTGGCAGGGCCCAGGGAGGACAGCTGCCAGCTCCTGGAGGGTCAGGAAGTAGAGGTGGGGGAAGGGGCCGGAGGGAAGATTCCCCCTCAGGCCTCAGGGACCCTCCCTCCTCCAGCCCTGCCTACAGTTACTGCCCAATCTGCCCTTCAAATCAGGATGGACCAATTAGGTCACAGTCTTATCCTCTAATTATTTTGCTTCTGAATAGTCAGGCATTAACAGGAGACTGAGGGATGCCTCATAGCCGACCATAACACATGCTTCTACCACATTTGCTGTCATGGATCACACGACAGTGAACATCCACATATATATAACTTTATACCTTTTGACACATTGAAAAGCATATTTGCATTTGGAGGTAGGATTTTTTACTTACCTGAAATGAAACTCAGAAGATACAACCCAAGGGGCCCATGCAGGGTCTCAAAGGGTTTGCCAAAAGCATTGTACATGAAGAGGGCAGTCCCCGCCATGGTCACAACCGTCAGGATCGTGGAGAAGAGAATGACATTGACATGGATGCTCACTGGGATGGCTTTGAGCAAGTCTGGGAAAACTGAAGGCAAACCAAGAATTAGAATTCCATGATTGGTATTCTGCAAGTGTAAGCTTAGAAGTTAAATCCCTTTCCAGGTGCGGTGGCACGCGCCTGTCATCCTGGTACCTTGGGAGGCTGAGGCAGGAGGATCGCGAGCTCGAAGCCAGCCTCAGCAAAAGTGAGGTGCTAAGCAGCTCAGTGAGACCCTGTCTCTACATAAAATACAAAATAGGGCTGGGGATGTTACTCAATGGTTAGTGCCCTGAGGTTCAATCCCTGGTACAAAATAATAATAATAATAATAATAATAATAATAATAATAATAAAAAAATTAAATCCCTCTTCTTTTTTATAATTTTTTTTGAGCATTTCTAATATCACTAAAATCTTGTTGATGAGTATGTTCTTACTAATTTATGAGGAGTTTACAAGAAGATTTAAAGACAGCACCATTGTATTGAATTCACCTGTAAAAACTGGCAAAGGGGAGATTTGAGGGAGTCTTTTTTTCTGTGCTTGGTCATATGTAATTGCTTAAAGAAATTAAGTGCTGGCTTTATAAATCAAAACCATATCGTTTGATGACCAAACTTTTAATGACATTCCTCAGTAATAATTTTTTAAAATCTCCCTTAACTTGTAATGACATTTTAAGTTTGGGGATATTTGGGGGAATTCAAATTATCAGGAGGTTTTTATATTTTCTTTGTTATGAAAAAATTAAAAAACTGGTTCCTAGCCCACACCAAGATTAAAGAATGGGGTATTTTCAGTCAACTTCAATATTTTGATGTAGCACAAAGCTGTGGGAAAATAATTTCTGGTGCTACAAGAAATATTTTCCATTTAGAAACCACGCCAAATCTATTTCTAGACTTTGTGTTCAGGGCAAGTTTTTCTTGTCTGCAGAGGAAATGAAATATCTTATAAATGTACGACTTCCTTTATCGGGTGAGGGATCAGTATGCTTGCCATCAGCAAAACTGGCAGATAATCTGGGGAAGGTCAGTTTATTTTGGTTTTACAACCATTCATTAAATGGTTAATTTATTGAGCACCTACTAAATGCCAGGCACTGTTCTAGGTCTTGGAAGTGGAGGCTTAGAACAAGATAGACAAGGTCCCTGTTGTCTCACAGAGCTTATTACCTAGTGAGAGTTAGCAAGCAAACAAATGTGCAGGTGATATCTATAGAGCATGAAAATGCATACACAGCAAATTCACTTCCAGGAGTCTATCCTACGAACATTTTTGCATGTGAATCCAATGAAGTATTACAAAGGTAATCATTGCAGCATTTTTTGTAATAACAAAATTTTGGAAATACTTCACGTGACCAGCAAAGGATTCTTAGTCCGTCACCATGAGTGAAGCACATCCGTAAGAACAGATTGGGATTATCATCAAAATGTGGTGTTAGACGGAAAAACAGACCAAACAAATAAAAGAAAATGTACATCACTCCGCCATTTGGAGAAAACCCCCGGGGGAACGTACATGATGACAAATAAGTATTCAAGCACTCATCTGATTTAGTTCTCCCAACGACCCCATGAGACAGGTACTGTCGTCAACCCAAGGCACAGGAATTATGTTCTGTGCCCAAGACTTATGCTCAGTAAGTTCAGAGCAGGGTTTGAACTCACCTCCTCCCTCCTGCCCCCACTACATCAGCCTCAGGGGCTGTTGTGTGTACTGAACCTCAGGATTTCCAGAAGCCACTCTCCACACTGGTAACCTGGCTTCTGGGGAGAGAGACAAGGGGCATTTCACTGTGTACCTGTCTTGTGCTGTTTGGGGGAGGAAAGGGTTGACATTGCTGCAAACATTATCTATTCATACTTTTTTAATAATTAAAATTTTTTAAAACCTGTGACTGTCATAGATTAAAAGAAACTTAAGAGGCATGTTGACCAAATACCATGTGTGCAGATGGTGGCTGTGGTTTGTGACTCGAACCAGACACATATAAAGAGACAATTTTGATACAACTATGGACAACTGAATAGGGACTGGGTATTAGATGATATTTCATAGTTAACGTTGATTTTATTGATGCTATTAATGGTTTGTAGTTGTGGTTTTTCTAAAGTTCTTATGTTAGAAATGGGTTAGATGATGGATGGATGGACGGATGGTTGGACGGATGGACGGATGGATGGAGATAAAATCAAGCGCGTCCTCGGCTCTACCTGGAGGCTGGGGCAGTGCAACGTGGAGGCTGAAGTTCAGGTGCTGAGCTGCTGGTGGCTGTGGCCGCCATGGTGCACGCTGCCTCTTTCCAGGGCATCACAGTCTTTTCTAACTGTGACTTTTTCTCTTTCCTCCCTTCCTTCCTTCCTGTTCTGGGACTGACCTCAGGACCCTGTGTGGCCCTGTGCCAGGCAAGCCACGGAGTCACACTGCCCTGGGCATCGCAGGCGTGAATTTCCAGGTGCAGCTGGTCTTGTGCCCAGAACCCTGTGCTCTGGCGCTGCCCACTACTGACTCAGTGCAACCAACCCAGCTGTGACCCTCACAGCTGGTCCTCACAGTTGGCCAGCTACAGACTTCGTTTTTACCAGCAGTTGTTCAAAACCGCTCACCTCCATCTCCCCACCTGTGGATAATGTGGTGACCTCCCTGTGACAGTGTTTCAGTCAGCTGCTTCGCTGCAGTGAATAAATGACCCTCCAGAACAATTTTAGGGAAGAAAAGTCTATTTGATGGCCATGGTTTCAGAGTCTTAGTCCATGGACAGCAGGCTCCATTCCTGGGGCTCAAGGTGAAGCAGACGTCATGGTGCGAGAGTGTGGCAGAGGGAGGCAGCAAGAGAGGAGGGGGGGAGAGAGAGTGGGGGAGAGAAGGAAAGAGGGGAAGAGAGGGGGAGAGGTGACAGAGGGAGGAGGGGAGAGAAAGGGGGAGGGAGGGAGAGAGAGGGAGAGGGAGATGGAGAGAAGAAGAGATGGGGAGGGAGAGAAAGGGAGGAGGAGGGAGAGAGGGGGAGGGAGAGAGGGAGGGGAACAAAGGAAAGGGGGAGGGAGAGGGAGGAAAAGAGGGGGAGAAAGAGAGGGAGAGGTGGGGAGAGAAGGAAAGAGAGGGAGAGGGGGAGAGGGGGAGAGGGGGAGGGGTGGAGAGGGAGGGAGAGGGGGAGGGAGAGAGAGGGAGGGAGAGAAAGTGGAGGAGGGAGAGAGTGGAAGAAGGAGAGACATGGAGAGGGGGAGAGAGGGGGAGAGAGAGAGAGTGGGGGAAGGAGAGACAGGGAGAGAGGGGGAGAGAGGGGAGGGGAGAGACAGGGAGAAGGAGGGAGAGAGAGGGGAGGGAGAGAGAGAGAGGGAGAGAGGGAGGGGGAGAGAAGGAAAGGGGGAGGGAGAGAGAGTGAGGGAGAAAAGGAAAGAGGAGCAGAGATGGGAGAGAGGAGAGAGGGGGAGGGAGAGAGGGAGAGGGGGATGAGAGAAGGAGAGAAGGAGGGAGAGAAGGGGAGGGGAGAGGGGGAAGGGAGAGAGGGGGAAGGAAAGAGGGAGGGAGGGGAGAGAAGGAAAAAGGGGGAGAGAGAGAGGGAAGGGAGGCGGAGGGAGAGAGAAAGGGTCTCCACTGCCCGATACACAGCTGCACCCCAAAGCCTCCCCCCATCCACACCTGCCACCTCAGTTACCTCAGTCACCGTCAGGGATTAGTTAGCTGATCAGCTCAAGGCTCCCCAAACTCAGTCATTTCCCCCAGAACCCTCTCCAATTGTTGACACGTGAGCACATCTGAGCCCTAGCAGAAAGGGTAGCGAGGAGAGGCCTCTCTAGGAATGAGGGGTTATGAATGGAAACATGTGGGTACAGGTGGCTCTGTCAGTGTCCTGGGCAGGGGAGCCGGGGCAGACACCAGTCCAGAGCCTTTAACCCCTGTGAGGCCTTTGGGATTCCCACTCGGGTCAGGAGATCACCCAGCAGGACACTGAGCCCCACTATCCCCCTCACCTTGGGTCAGGTTCCTCCTCCTCCTCCTCTTCTTGAAACCAGAAGTCCCTGCCCATGATGATAAACCAGGACTCTGGGACACTAGGGTGGCCCTCCCTGATTGAAGCCCAGAGCAGACAGTTCAGAGCCACATGGGAGGCTGCCCTGGGTGGGGACAGGCTCCAACTTGTGGAGGAGGCGGCCCTGCTTGGCCTTCTGCCCCTTCAGGGTTCATATTACAACACAGAAGGACATGGACTCCTGGGTCTGTGGCAGAGTGTCCCTAACCCTCAGGTCACTTCTGACCTCCAGATATGACTTGTGAAAGGGAGCTATTTGCTGGAACAGGCAGCCGGTGGCCTGTGGGGAACATGGCTCTAGCCTGTGTGTTCTGACACTCTCTTCTGTTCCCTTATCACTGGTGTCCCACACTCTCCGTACCCTGGTCTCCTCCTCCTCCAACCACCCCAGTCACCCCTCTCTTCATTCTCACAAAACATCTTCAAAGAGCCATATATGAATAATTACACGAAGAATGAAATGACCACCAATAACCACAGAGCACTTGTTCTACTCCAGGTCCTTTACACGTATTGCATGAATGGACACATTCAACTCCTCCAGGATGAGTAAGGTATTATTTTTATCTTCAATCTATAGATTTTTTTAAAATCAAGGCACAGAGAACTTAAGTAACTTGCCTGAAGTCACACAGTGATATTGCTGCCTTTGCTTTTATTCCTCCCACCCACCTCATTTTTAAGATTAAAGTTAACACAATGAAAAAAAAATTCTTCCTTATTAGTTCTGTAGGTTTTAAACAATGCACAAAGTTGTGTAACCATCACCACAATCAAGATATAGAACAACCCCCACTCCAAAGACTCGCCCCAGCCCCACTTCTGCGCGTGTAACTGAAAGAATGTCCGGGTGTGTCCCAAAGCCATTGTACCATTCACCTTCCCACCAGAGGCACAGGAGGGTCCCAGTTGTCCCACCTGACTCTCGGCTTTCGGCACTTGGCAGGTTGCTACAAATGGTGGCCTTCTAGTGGCTGCGTCGTTTATCTCACTACAGCTTTAATTTGCA